GCCTCTGGGAGGATCGAAACAAGTCCCACCAAGGGCATCCTAGCCACGGGGCCACTATAATCAAAGAGCAGGAATGTCCTAGAGGGCTACGGTGTGCCCGGGCAAAATGCCTATTTGAAGCTTAGGCAAAATGTGCCATTCAAGTCACCACAGAGCCTACTAGGGGTGGCCCTGGACTGGTGCCAGAAGTGAGGACAACTTTCTAAGATAGAGCTTGTCCTCAAGGACAGGGCATGGGTGCGCATACTACCTTGGGTCCCTGCTTTGGAGACACGGTCTTTTTTCCTAGAGGCCAAAAAGGATCACATCTCTCCTACCCATTCATTCCTCACTGCTGTCTTGCATAATTTCAAAATAACTCTAGAGTCACCCTTGTCCTTTTCCCCAAGGAGCCAACACCATGTCTCCAATCATGGGCCAGACACCAGGGCGCAGGTCCAGGCATCAGCGCTGACAGTGCAACCCCATTATTTATAAAGGACTGACTCACATCGTGTCACAACAGGCGTACTTTTCCACCCACTGTTGCTGAAAACCACTGAACTTGTAGGGATGGTGGCAATAAAGAGAAGGCCAGAGGACGGGAAAGCATGAACTATGTCTCAGGTCAGGGCTTCACCCTCTTTAAGGGAAAGTAGCCCATAGAGAATAATTGCAGGGCAAGGATCAGGGGGACCTACAGTGGTCTCAGACACAGGAGTCACCATTACAATTCATTTCTTCAAGCAAAGCATTATCACTGTTCCCTCCACCGGCCCTGTCCCCTTCCTCCCCAATTTTTCCAACAAGCTGGTAAACTCCTGCACATCCTTCAAGGCCCAACTTCTGGAGTCCCTTCCCCAACATCAAGGTTCAGGTGCATTCCAACTCTTAATATGGCAAGCCACAATGACAATGGAAAGGATTTGGGGGTCAACAGCAAGGCTTGGGGAGAAAGCCAGAGCTCCCGAGAACTCTAATGTGTGGGCTTGCACAAGAGTAGCTTCTTCCTCGGGGGTGTGGGTTCGGTAAGTGGTGTGACAACCAGCCTGGCCCCCAGGCTCTCTGTCCCATCCGTGTGGCCTACTTGGTTCTATCGAGTCAGCATGCTATAGAGGCTAAGGCTACAGGGCCTGAAACCAGACCGCCCAGGTTAATTCTGGTGCCCCTTTCCCTACCCATGTCGTCTTGAGCAAAGTTACATCACCTTTTTTGGGCTCAGTTTCCTCATCTGTAAATTGGAGATGATAGTTTCAACATCATGGAGTAACTATAAGGATTAACTAACACAAGTAAAGTGCTGAGAACCACACCTGGCACCCAGCTAACATCTACTGAATGCTTAAACTAGTATGAAAAGTGCAGCCACCCCCATTCCAAACAATCAAGAAAGAAGGTGGGGGTCCCATGAGGGTGAGGAGGAGAGATGCCCCTGGGTACCCTGTCTCCCATCTGCACTCCTGCAATTGTGTCCTCAGGAGGTGTTCTGGCCACCAGCCTCTTCCCCTCCATCAGACTCCACAGGGCCTCATGTTTATCTTAAAACACAGATAAAAGTCCTTTGCTGACACACGGGTGGCTGGAAAAACAATTGGTGTGCATGGATGGGTCTCCCATATTTTCCAACCCATAGAAAGTTCCAGCTTCCACCTTACTCCACCCCACACATGAGCTTCACCCTCCTGCTTGTCCCCACACATGGTCTCAGAAATTGAAGCTCTTGGATCTTCCAAGGAAACCACTTTTATGATTCCTAAGTGAGGTCTCAGAGCCCCAAGCCTCCCCGGGCCTTGCACAGAAGAAAGTCCTCACTCTTGCTGGCCCACACAGCTGGTTGCTCCTATACAGACTGGCTCGTTATTCCTGGCGCTGCTGGTCTGAGGCTCCTGGGCTGCTAAGGGGCTTGGCTTTGCCCCTCCTGGGTCCCCAGTGCCCTGGGGGAAGTTCAGAAGGCTGCCTGGAGAGGGCACTATTTTCACCACTAGCAGAGGACCTGCCCATCTTGGAGAGCAGCCTGGGAGGTTTCACTGGGAATGGAGGTCTGACGGAGAGCACCCCTCCCTGGCTCTCTCGAACCGCCCTAGGTTGGTGGCCATCTGCTCAGGGAGCTGCCCCTCTGGGAAACGGGAGGCAGCTGCCCTGAAGATTCTTGACAGTGTCTCAAGCACCCTTAGTAACCTCGTGCAGGGAGTAGAGACCCATATTTGAATGCACTTGCGTTCAATCAAGAAAAGCTCAGCTATGCCTCCAACATGTCAGTCTTGGTCTCTGGGCCTCAGTCTCTCCATATGTGCAGTGAGGGAAGATGGGTTGGATGTATGCATTTATCCAACGCATATTAACCAAGCACCATACCAGCACTGCTCTGAGCCCTGGGGATAGAGCAGGAAATAGAGCAGACAGAAAGCCCTGCCTTCATGGCACTGGTGTTTAACAGGGAAGACAGACAAGAAACAAGATGGAAAAGGGAACACGCAGGAGGTTAGCTGTGATAAAAGCGATGGAAAATAACGCGGGAGAGGAGGCAGGGTCATGACCGCTAAGGCTCACTCCCGCTGAGAGATTCTGGATCAACCCTCTTCCTCTGCTCGGCTCTTGTCAGGACCCAGAACTGCTGTAGGAGGCTGGGCAGGGCCACACGTGTGGTAGGAGCAGCTGGGCAGGGAGGGGGAGGTCGGGGCAGGGGCTTGAATCCCTGCTGTGCTCACCACGCTCCTCCAGGGAAGAGAACTGACAGCTCTGGGCGTCCTGGTCTGTCCTCCGGCCAAAGCACACACCGGGGTCTGCTGGCGAGTCCAGGGTCCCAGGGCTCTGGGCAGGGCCTCAGAACACCTCAGGGCACAGCCACGGGCAGTCTCCTTCACCTGTTGCTTGCCTCCCGACTCGGCCCTGGCCTTAGATGAACAACACACGGAGCACCTCCACAGCCGGGGCTCTCATACCTCTCACACCCCTCCTGCTGGGCCACCCCCAGCCAACTGACAGCAGAGTGTCCCCTTTTCCTAGATGGGGAAAACTCCCCATTTTCCATCCATTTTAGCAATTTCTCTTCCTGCACAGATGGGTTTTGATCAAGAAACACTTCCAGAACCTACTGTGTCCTCAAGATGGGGCCAGCTCTCAGAGAGATACAAAGGTGCCTGGTCACTTCCCAGAGGAATTTGCAGCCCACCTGGGGAGGTCAGGCTCACACACACACACAGAAGGAAAGAACAGTTTGCTTTGCAGCTTACAGAGCACTTTGGACAACTCACTCTCACAAAACCACACAGATTCTCTTGTCCCCATTCTACACACGAGGAAACTGAGGCCCCAGAAAAATCAAGTCCTCTTCCCTCAGTCCACGGAGTGGTAAGGCGAGGGAGGAGGCAGTGAAGATTAAAGTTTCCAAACAAGATTTCCTGTAGGGATGAGTAAGACTTGGGTGTAAATGAGACAAGGGTCTCCCGCCTCCATCCTACACAGGGCCAAGCTGGCACATACCTGGCGTTCCTCTGCTTCTCCTGGGCCTGACAAACAGTGAATCGAGAGTAAAGCAAAATCTGTCTGTCTGGAAAAATGCATGGGATTATGGAGTGCTCACTGGTTTAAGAAACACCAAACTGTCCCCAAGTGGGTAGGGATCTCAGGGATCCATCATAGCGGAGGGCACCCTCCTCCTCCAACTTTTAAAGTGCCCTTTCTGTTCACCAAAGGCAGAGAGATCCGTCAGGTGGAAAAGAATCTCCAGCTGCTTCTGCTTAATTCATCTGGTTCTTGCCCAGCACCTTCTGGGTGCCAGGTACTAATGCCACAGCAGGGATGAACAGGTCCCTGCCCTCCTGCACACCTAGCTCAGCACGGAGCTGGCTCCTCTCTCTTGGAGGAGCTTCCCGCAGATTTTATGCCATTCTGCAAGGTGCCCTCTCCTGACCTGCCCCTTTCAGAGGAAGGACTTCAAGGGAAGGGGGAGAAGAAATGAACCCCTGCTGAGTCAGGGCCCAGTGAAAATGGAGAACCAACCGTGTAGCTCTGGAAGACTGTGGTTTGCAGTCCAGGGCAACCGTTTTTCTCCAGCTAATTTCTAAACCTCTCCGAGCCTCCTTTTTTTTTTCATCTGGACCTCACTGGTTTATTGGAGGGGAATGGACAGAGAGATGGGTCCAGGTTGGTGATGTTCGGCTCTTCTCTCACCCACTGACCTCCCCCATCCGTTCTCTGCTGTTCTGCGTGGGAAGGGGTATTTTCATCCCCAGGCCACACTGAGCTGAGCCCCCCTGCCAGCCTCGGCTGGAGGAAACCCACTGCGCTCAAATTGTCAATGGTTATTGAGCTCTAGATCTACGTCCCTGTGGGACGGTGGGCCACACGTCTCTTCTGGCTGGCGCTCATCTGACTGGGGCTTGGCCAGTGCCGGGAAGCCAAGGATGCCCACCCAGCCTGGCTGCGGACTGTGGGACACAGGGCAGAAGCCGGATGCTCCGCGTGGCCGGGCACCCGCTTCAGTAGCGCCCAGATGGACCCCCTGGGCAGGGCCCACCGCCCCCTCACCTGCACCCCGTCTGGCTCAGCGCCGTTCTCCTACCCTAATGTGGCCCGAGGAGGCGGGAAGCACAAATGTAAACATCCCTTAAGAAATCGCCATCTCTGCAGTCCCCATCCAAGGATTTTTCTTAAGGGGTTGAGGGGTGGAGGGAGGGACGCAAACGCTCAGAAGCGTGAGAGATGGGAAATGAGAAGGCAGATAACCGATTTCCGCGGAGACCCGCGCCCGGCAGCGGCCGCCCAGCCTTAGTACCGGCCCCGGGGGCTGCAGGGGACTTGGGTGGAGGGCGTGCGCCGGTCTGCGGCTGCTTTCCCCGCCGCCCGGCGCACCGCCGTCCGGGCGCAAACTTTCCCAGACCCGCCCTTGGAGCTGCCGGGCGGCTTCGGGGAGCGCTGGGGGCGCCGCCAGGCAGGGCGCGTCTGGACGGGGAGGCGGGGAGGGCGCGCGCGGCGGGGGACCCGCGGGGGGGCGCTGGCGAGAGTCCCGCTCTGGTTACCTGGGTCCCGAGGGTCACGGGCGTCCGGTTGAGAGGGCGCAGGGACGCGGCCCAGGCAGGCCGGAGCCCCAGACCCTCCTCCGCGGCCGCGGCTGCCCCCGGACACGCGAGCGCGGCACCTGGCCGGGCGGTCGGCGAGCCTAACCCGTGGTCTCCGCCCCAGATCCCCTCCCACGCGGGGCGGGGCGGGGAGACCGGGGGAGGAGCCGAGGGCCCGGGGGCACGCCGCCCGCGGGGCCTGCACCCAACAACGTGCCACCGACGATGGAACCCGGTGACCTCCAAAGGGTCGCCCCACCACCCGCTAGCCTGAGGTGAGATCAAAGCCCTGCGCCCAGGTGGAGTCGGTGGGTGTGTCTAGGTTTTCTTGCCCTCTGTGCCCCTCCTCGCCCTTGACTCCCACCCCACTTCCAGGGCCAAGCGCTGGGAGCCTGCCCTTCAGAAGAATGCATGGGGTGGAGCACACGGAAGGGAAGAAACACCTGGGTACCTGCAGCCCCACCCTACTGTTTCCCGCCCCCATCCTCACCTCCACCCCTCCGGAGCGGCTCCGGGCTGTTCTCAGCCAAGTGGGCAGTTCTGCCTCCCCTCTCTCCGGGTGCCCCTGCCCAGGGAGCCTTGCCATTTCCCCAGGACTCCATTTCCGCCATCTGGAAGGTGCTGGGCCTGGACCTCTGCCACTCGGTGGACGCAGTGACAAGAGTTTGACACACAGGACAAAGAAGAAACAGTCAGGGACCCAGACTCTGTGGCTACCCCAGGTGCTGAAGGGACAGGATGCAGCTACTTCCATCCCCACCACCAACTCTGGGAAAACCACCCCTTGGACAAAACTTCTAGCCTGAAGTGGGAGGTTGTCCCTGCTTGGGCCCCAGGCTCTCTGAGCTCCCTCCACTTGCTGCTTACCTTGTTTCCTAAGTGTGCAGAAAGTGGAAGGAGCACTGGACCTGGAGTTCAGAGGCCTCCGTTTAGCTCTGTGACCTCAAACAAATCTCTGTCCTTTTCTGGGTCTCATTTTCCCCTTTCACAGTGAGTGGGTTGCAGTTGATTATCTCCAAAGTCCTTTTATGGGGACTGAATCATGTTATTGGGCATCTTGCTTATTAGGTTTTTCTCTGGCTGCACATCTTTTAAAGAGGTGTGCACGTGTGTGTGTACGTGTGTGTATGCGCTTCTGTCTGGATTAGCTTGTCCTCTCAGACTTAAATTTGGGGAGGGAAAATGAGGAGGCCTTCCCAACAGGTAGGCAGTCATCCTGGGCAAACCAGAGCTTGACCAGAATGGCCGGCACAGGGAGAGAGTGAATCCCAGTCCCAGCCGACCTCAGAGTGGCTGGACAAGTCCCACATTAACAATCCCTGCTTTGTCTTCCCAAAGGTGTTGGGGGATACATGAGCTATTAGGTGTGAAGCCCTTTGAAGGGGAAGGCAAGGGTTGTGCACTTTCTGACATCGTCTTTTGACTCGCGACCGGGATGGGCTTCAGAGGCAGAAGAGGGCGTGAGGTGTTCAAAGCCTAGCACTGGCTTTGCCCCAGCAGAGACGCGCCATGCCTCCCCATACTCCCGCCCACTGCAGGCCTCTTTGTGTGCCCTTGGGGAAGCTAGAGAGGGAAGAGTAGACCCCCGACCTGAAGAGAGGTGGTCAGTGGATTACCAATTAATGGATCAGCATGTCTTGGCTGAACACCTGGCCAGCAGGTACTACAGACACCCGCCTCTGCTCTTAGGGAGATTAAAGACCAGCTGGGTGATTAAACAGGAAGCCTTTGGAGAAAGATGTGGAGAGAGGCTTCCGCAGATGGCAAGCACACAGGGAAATCGGAGCAGGATGGACTAGACCGCATGGAGAGGAATTTAGGGAGTATTGCGTCCAACTCCGCCCTTTCATATGTGAGCTCAGAGAGTAGTGACCTCCTCCCAAGGCGGTCAGCCTGAGGTAGCAGAGCTGGAACCCAAACCGGGACTTCAGGACTCTGCTGGGTTCGGGCCTCTGTGTGGCCCAGGGAAACAGGGAGCATGGGAAGGACCGGGTGCAGGCCAGTGACCCGAAAGTGCCTTCCAGCTCGGGGAGGAGCTGAGCCCAGGAACAGCAGGGAGGCTGCTGGCATCCCAGGGCGTGTCTGGAAAGCCAGGCTGATGAGTAGACCGGGGAGGATTTCGAGGCCACACCAGTTGGGAAGGGATGTTACTGGAGAGACACAGGCCCCAAATGACCCCATGAGGCAGGAGAGGACATGCCAGGAAGGCAGTGAGGTGACATGGGAAGAGCACCAGGAGACAGGCGCCTGTATCCAAACGGCCTGAGCAGGGGCTTCTCTTCTCTGGCCCTCTGTCTCTTCATCTATAGAGAGGGGACCATAGCTTTTTCCTTTTAGGGTTGTCATGGTTACCACAGACTGCATTTGGAAGTGCTCTGCAAACTGCAATTTAGCAATTTAACAATTGTGTTTGTTGATTCTTTTAAAGGCCTCCATGAATATCTGTGGAACTGACCCATGTTGGGTTGGGCACCGCATGTCTCCTTGTGATGGATGGACAGCAAAAGGGGGGTCTGCAAGTGGCCGGAAGGGCCCAGGAGGGCGGGAAGAAGAGAGAGCACCAGTCTAATTGTCAGTGCCCCTTTGAACACCTTTACAATGTAGCCCAAATACCCCTTTAGGGAGGATAGCCCCACTCTATCCACAGGACTCAGAATCTGCCATCTCGTCCTCTGCCCCACCCCCCCCAGCACCTGCGTTCACGGTGCATGGTATCAGAAGCCACTTTTCCCAACCAGGCACCTGTTCCTAAGGGGCAGCCCCTTCTGGGTGGGCCCAGACCAGCTGTGCTCTTTACTCACAAGCTTGTCTGACTGCAGGAACAGTGCAAATGAGGCTGTCACCCCCACTTCATAGCAGGACTCCGGTCTCTTGTGCATCTGCGGCTCTCTTGCATCCAGCCCTCGCTGAACCCAGGAGTCCCCTGCTCCTCCTTCTCCTCTGTGATGGAGTCATCGGGGCAGGGCTTACTGCTCCACTTAGCAGATGGGAAAAGCGCTGCCAAGATGGTGCCGGGGCTTACCAGGCAGCGGCACATCCACAACAACCACTTCACCCCGCCAGTCTGGGCTGCGTGCTGCCCGGGCCTTTCCCCAGCCATCATCTCATCAGGGCTGGAAGTATTCACTTCACTCTGCAAAGAAAGGAGTGGCTGCTCAGGGAGTTTGTGGTTGAGGGAAACTTCTCGAAGAGCTTTCCTTTCAGCTACTACATTCAGACAAGGGCAGTGTTGGTATCAGTTTCCTGGGGCTGCCGTAAGGAACACAGCAGCTTAAAACAACAGAAACTCTCTCTTTCAGTCCTGGAGGCACGAAGTCCCAAATCCGGGGGTGAGCAGGGCTGCGCTCCCTCCAGAGTTCTGAGGACCCCTAGGAGAAGGTGCCTGGTCTCTTCCGGCTTCTGGTGGGTCCAGAAGTTTCCTGGCTTGAGGAAGCAGGACTCCGACCTCTGCCTCTGTCACCACATGGCTTCTCCCCTGTGTCTCTCTGTGTCTTCTCTTATTTGTAAAAAAACTGCAGTCATTGGGTTCAGACCAGCTCATCTTGACATCCTCAACTTAATTTTACCTGCAAAGATCCTCTTCCTAAATTAAGTCACAGTCACAGGACTGGATGTTAGGACATGGACTTATCTTTTTCAGGGACATTGTCCAACCCACCTCAGTGTCTCTCCTCTTACGGGAGGCCCCTGCTGGTCCCTCGAGGTCAGTCTCCTCCTCTCTTCTCCCCTCCACTTCACACCTCATCTCAGCTGCCTGGACAGAGCCTCTTCCCACATGTTCTCCCTGGTCCTTTTATGGAGGAGAAAGGAGACCACAGCCACATGGCGCCCTCGCTAGGGGCAGTGAGCCGGGGGACTCGGTTCCCTCTGACTTCCTCTCCCACCACCTCCCAGTGTGACCACGGCTGCCTCATGGCACCTTTGTGCCCTTCCCTCTGCCACCTGTCCATCATGGGAACCTGTGGAGAAGAAGTCCCTTTTGGAGGATGTGCTCACCCTGCCCTCTGTCCCAGGTCCTCTACTGATGCCGAGGTCCTGACAGCCCTTGGCCAGGGAGCCACAGAGCTTTCTATTCCATTCAGGGAGCACAGACTCCTGGGCAAACCTCCTGGGCCTGGGGGCGGGCGGGCACAGTCGTCAGAGCAGGATGGAGGGAGGTGGAGCACGAAAGACTGGCCCGCCATGTGTGTGTGTGGAGAAGATGCTGAGAGGACAGGAGAGGGACCCACCTAGCCTGGGACTCACTTTGGCCAGGGTCAGGCCAGGGCTGGGACCCCTGCCTCTTCAGGGAGAGAGCGCAGGACCCATCACCTCAGTGCCTGAAGGAGGCCCCACGCCTGCCCCCTCCCAGGTGGGCTCTTCAAGCCCATAGCCTCCAGGAACCAGAGAGGCCAGAAGAACCTCCAGGCTCATCTGACCAGGGAGTAAAGAGGGGCAGAGATGCCATGGAAACAGCCAGAAGACTTGTGTGCCCAGGGCTGCCTCTGTCACACAGGCCAGTCTCCTAGGCCCAGGCAGATCCTTACAGCAGCCAAGGGCCCGCAGTCCTCTATACAAGGCCCTGGGCAGCCCCCTGCTTGCAGGGGGAGGAGCTGGGGGCTGATCTTGAAACTACATCAGCAGAGAAGTGCAAGGTTTTCTTTGGCTGTGCGGTTTATTTGGAGTGACTGGTGGGAGGGCGGCACATAGAGATTAGGAAGGGGGTTTGGCCCACCCTCCCCTGCAAGCACACTGTTTCCTCCCAGTGACCTCTGTTTTCTCCTATTAGCTTCAGCAGTCTGTGTCCCTGCATCCAAAAAAAGCCCTACCAAGAAAATACAATACCCAACCCAGTGGTTCTCCATATTCGCTAGAGGTCAGCATCAGCCCCCAGTTCAATCTGAATATCTGGAGGAGGTGGGCCCAGGTCTTTACTAAAGTTCCCCAGGTGATTCTGATGTGCAGCCAACGTGGAGACGCTGAGGTAGCCCAACTCCCTCAGCTGCCTGACTCTTGGGGTGTCTAGAGGGCCAAGGCCATGCCTATGTTCTTGTTAACCCTGCCCACAGGGCCCTGGGTTGAGCCAGCATACAGCAAATACACATTCAAATAAAGGTGTGCAGAGAACAGGGCGCCTGCCCTCTCTCCTCAGCACACAGCTATGTGGTGGGTCTTCCCCAGCAGCACCTGCAATCGCACTTCCTGCCTGAATTCTGGGCCACCCACCGCACATGGCTCACCCTTCCCTGGGCTTCTCCTGCTACCAGCCCCCGAGCCTGGCAGCACAATGGCCAGGGTCGTGGGTGCTGCCCATGGTGGAGGTGAGTCAAGCACAGGGGAGGAGTGGGAAGGAGAGGGTTCCTCCAGGCAGCCCCAGGCTGCTGCCCCTCCTCCCAGGCTTTGCCCTGTAAGGACCGCCCCCTGCAAATGTGCGGCTGCAGGGGACACGGAGACTCCCTGACCCCAGCTCTCGCCGCCCCCAGGTACCAGCCATCTGCAAGGTCCAGGCAAGACCTGGACTCGACTGTCTTTAAAGAACCACACAAATATTCCTTGCCTTTAACCCAGCACTCCCACACCTGAGAATGTATCCTCAGGGAATAACCCTCAAACAGTGGGAAAGCTCTTTGAGTAAAGTTTCTGCACAATATCTAAAATTATGGGAACTTGAAGTAACCTAAGTGTCCAGGCTAGTGCGCTGCAAAGCAACAGCACGCCCATTTTAAAAGCTAATTGTGAAGACTTGCAACACGGGAAAACGCTAATGATACAGTGCTGAGTGCAAGATTGCACTGGGCAGGAGTCCAGCTGTGAAAAAGTTGTACATGTGCATATACAAGGGCTGGAGCGGAATTGAAAAGCACCGAACTAAAAAAGAAAAGCAAAATGCCCATTTATTAGGTTTGCGGGTGATTTTTTTTTTCTGATTGCTGGCATTGTTTGTAAAATAAATATTTGTATGAGTATATAGTAATAGTAAAAGTAGTCTCTGTTCAGAGCAGCTCTGGAATACGCCTGTTCAAGCCCAGGCTGTAAGCGAGCATGGGTCCTAAAGCAGGCTGCCTCTGGGGAGTATTTGCATTTGAAAGAAGCTGAAGTTTCAGAGAAACTGGCGTTCAGGCCAAGGTGCAGAGCTATTGTACAAGCCGCGCAAGGGCCTTTTCTCCTCACACCATCCCCTTCAGCTCTCTTAGCCCGGTGGGTTCACTTTGCAGCGCAGCAGAGCTGCGGAAATCAGTCTCTCAGCCTCACCTGCTCTGCACATTATCTTATTCAATAGTAAGGTTATCTGTGGGATTGATGGGGACGCTCCAGCTAGGTGGGAAAGATGCTGGGGTCCCCGGCTAATAAAAGGCAGATCTGTGATCTGAACCTGGGTGGGGCTCAACCAGGGGCAAGCGCTTCTGCCTTCTGTTTTAGGCATCTTCTCCCAAACTGCTATCCAGAACCTCTGCAGTGGCAGCCTGGATGGGCAAGGACGCTTCCGGAAACGGCTGGGAAAGGGTGCTAACCCACGGAGGATGGGGCTGGTGCTGGGCCTGAGGCTTTTTTAAAGTCTGGGTGTGACCTTTTTGAAGTTGTGTTCTCAGGAAAGGCTAGAGAAAGCCTTGCTGTGTTCTTTGTCCCCACCCAGCTCAGGAGCTGTCAGAGGGGGGAGGGGGCAGTGCTCCTTGGCTGACCTCCTGGGGACGGCTGGATGGGCAGGGCAGCTCCCCACCGCCCATGAGCCCTGTGACGTGCCCAGGCTGCTGAAGACGTGCAAGTCCAGTTTTATACAAAACACTTAGTGGCTGGGGGGCTTCACTTTGATGAGAGGACTTAAAGTCATCGTGACCTGTGTTCACCAAGCTCTAAGGATGCCAGAGCCCCACAGACGTGGCGTCTGCTTTAATGCTTACCATGCCCCATGTCTAACATTATCTCCACTTCATAGATTATTGGAAAGTTGAGGCCACGACTTGTACAAAGTCACAGAGCTGGGACTCAACTCAGGACTCATCCACAGTTTGTGCTCTCTCTCCATTGCTGTGCTATACTGCCTTAGGGTACATTTCAATTTCCAAAAAAAATAAACATATGTACAATTCTTCCTGGAACATGTCTGCTCTGAGGTTTACCACAACATATATCCTCTAGCTAACATTCAAAATGTGACTCCTGCTCACATTAGCCAGTCCTTCTTGAAGCTTGCACAAGACCAAGCGTTGGAGAAACAGTCCACTTATGGGAAATACGGAGTACTTGTAGTTAATTTCATACATTAGACTACAGGGACTTAGAGACCTATTAGCTATTCTAGGAACAGTGAGAGCCTAAAAAGATCATGTGACTTGCCTGAGGTCACTCCATGAATGAAAGGCTGAATTTGCATTAGATTGTCATCAGCCCTAGGAGGGTTTGTTCCTCATAAATTGCGCAACAGTTTTGGGGTGGTTTCTAACATGTGTACTAGAAAGTCTCTTTGGGTACAGTCTGTGTCATACCTGGCCTACACGGTTTACTGCCTTTTAAAGATCCAAGTGCAACGTCTCTCTTCCAATACGCAGGTCTGACAGTGCCAAGTGGATCGTCCTGGCCTTGGATGAACATGGCAGTGGCTGGGGTCTGCTGAAAGCCGTGGTTGCAATCTTCCTCACTACCACGTAACTTCTGAGCCATAGGTGGGTTGACACGACTCCTGAAATCCCTGCTAAATATTTTAGCATGAGGACGGAGTTGCTAAAGAGAGGGAGAAGATAGTTGAGGGCTGTGTAAATATTTAATTTCGCCCCAAGCTGGTGTCCTTAAATTACAGAACATTCATGTCTTTATCATAACATTCCTGAGTCTAACTGATGACAAACAGCCCTTTTTCAGGCTCAGAGCAAATCCTGGGACAGAAGACTCTAGGCAGAACTTTCCTTCCTTCTATGACTCCAACGCTCTCCCCTCTGTCTTCCCAGCCCACGCCCATGTAACCCTTCACCTCCCTGGCCTGTCTTCACCACCAAAGGCCAGGGGAGTGGTGGGACCAACTGCATCATCCCTTTTAATCGTTGGGGAAACTGAGGCTTAAAGGGTCAGGGAAGCTGGTAAGTGCCCAGCCCAGGTTCCCTCCCCAGATCTTGAGCATTTTCTGCCCCACCTTGGGACCCACAAGTAGGTAGGTCCCCAGGACCACGGGGGCCCCGAGGACTCCTCCCCTTTCTGAATTCAGTTCTCTTGTAGTAAATGACCAAAGGGAGTCATTCAGCAAATGGCTCAGAGAGAAAGATCCACAGCCTCATTCACGCCCGGGACTGTCAGGCAGGAGGCCAAGGGGCCTCAGGGCCAACGCTGTGGACAGGTAGCTCCTGAGTCAGTCAGCACCCGCCCTGGCCCTGCTCCCCAACCAGCCCCTTCATCAGCAGGAGCAGCCCTGCCCTCATCCACCACTCCAGGCCCAGGTACTTCGTGCCTTACCTCTAGTTCTCAGGGCCCCCTGGGTGGCGGGCTTTATCGCCCCTCATTGCCGATGAAGGAGGTGCAGAGTGGCTAAGTGGCTTGTTCAAGCTCAGGCACTAGGCAAATGGCTGAGGCAGGACTCCAGCCAAAGTGCTCCTTCTCTTGGTGACCCCAGACACCGAATGTGCCAGCTGGCATCCAGGACCCCCTCACAGCCCGGTCGCTGGTCTGCTGCCCCAATGCCTGGTGAGTGCCCCCTGCCGGCTCCATCCTAGCTGGTAGATCCCCAATGTTGAGCCTTATCTGCCCGAGGCACACTGCACCTACCCACTTGAATTGAAGGACAGATGTGCCAGGGAGCTTTGCAGGGTCCCATCACCCCAGGGCCAGGTCAGATGCTCACAGCTGGGCCAGAGCTCATGCGTAGGGAGAGGGCGGCCTCACCTGGCCCCAGATTTCTTTCTTCATCCACTCCTGCACTCATTGTTTCTCAGACTCTTGCCGAGCCTCCACTCTGTGACAGACGCTGTGGTAGCCTGAAGAGTGGCCCCCCAGAGATGTCCACATCCTGACCCCAGATGCCATCAACATATGACCTTACATGGCGGGAAGGATTCTGCAGATGCGATGAAGTTAAGGATCTTGAGATAGAAAGATTGTCCTGGATTATCAGAGTGGGCCTCTTGTAATCGCAAAGGTACTTATAAAAGGGAGGCAGGAAGGTCAGAGGTCAGAGGAGAACATGTGACAATGGAAGTAGAGGTCAGAGCAATGCAGCCCTGAGCTGGAGAATGTGAGCAGCCCCTAGAAGCTGGAGATGCGAGGAAGTAGAGACTCGCCTGGAGCCTCCACAAGGAACACATCCACCCCGACACCTTGATTTTAGCCCAGTGAGACTGATTTTGGACTTCTAATCTACAGGGCTGTAAAATAATAAATCTGTGTTGTTTTCAGCCATTATGTTTGTGGTAATTTGTTGTAGCTGCAATAGGAAACTAATACAGATACCAGAGCATTTTATGAGACCACGCAGAATCTTCTAGAGGGCTGGTGGAATCCGCACAGATGCTTGGCCCCAGCCACAAGAGTTTCTGATTCAGTAGGTCTGGCTGGGGCCGGGAATCTGCATTCTAACAAGTTCCCAGGAAATGCTGAGGCCACTGGCTGGGGGCCACAGTTTGAGAACAGCCTGTGGAAAGCAATAGTTCTCAAGTTTTAATGTGTTTCAACGGTCCCAGGGATCTTGTTAACATGCAGGTTCTGAAGTTAATTTATTCATTTATTGGTTGCCATGTTTATTCCCTGAACTCTCCGGTAGAGTGTCGGGCGGGTGAGAGCAGCCTCTAGCCAATGACACACAGTAACGTCTGCAGGGTGGATGGGCGAACAGGGCAAGCGTTTGGAGCTTGCTGAACGGGGAGGCCAGACACAGTGATGTGGGTGTCCTGGGGGTCCTCGCTGAAGTCACAGAGTGAATGAAATCCTTTGGGAGAGAATGAAAAGGGGGTGGAGGAGGTCCCCCAGTGCCCCATCACAGAAGGGGTGCAGCAGGAGTATCCCACAAAGGAGGAGGAGCAGCCAGGGATTTCCGCAGGACGGAGTCGGCGCCAAGAGCAGAGCCCAAAGGGGCTTCTGGGTCGGGCCGGGGGAGGGACAGCGGAAGCATGGAACTCCCATTTTGGGGAGCTGGGTGGCATCTCCTATATGAAACTGATTGGTTAGGGAGGGTTTAGGCCCTCAGGTAGGCATCCATATTTTTCTCACGCAACTTACTTAGACGATTTATAAAAGCCTCGTGTGTATGTTGGCAAATCTTTTGGAGAATTCTGAGAAGTATAAAGAAGAAAACTGAAATCTCCTATAATTGCCATACCCAGAAATGAAACCTATTTATATTTTTATGTATTTCAGTCTTTAATACACGTATGTAAAACACAGAATTTTCCTTCAAATTCAGATAAAACTGTTCAGATCTTTAAACCCTGTTTCTATAACTTAATACATTGTTCCATAAGTATTTTTCATGTTTTGAAGAGCAAATATAGTTTTTGAAGGGAGAATAATGCACTTTTGCACAAATGCATCGTAATTTAACTACACCCTCATTTTGGAGTACTTTCATTGTGGTTTTAATTTACAGTGTGCTAAGACTAGCCATGCTCATCTTTTCACATGTTTATTTGCTGTCTTCATTTCTTCTTCAGTGAAGTATCTGTTGAAGTCTTTTGCCTGTTTTTAATTGGGTTATTTCTTTGCTTATTGTTGAGTCCTTTATAGGTTCTGAATATAAGTCCTTTGTCAGAGATATGATTTGTCAATATTTCCTCCCAGTCTTTATTTTAATTTTCAGTGTCTTTTGCAAAGCAAAATTTTTAATTTTGATGAATTTCAATTTATTATCAAACTTTTTCGTTATGCTTTTAGTATCTAAGAACTCTTGGCCTAACCCAAAGTCACAAACATTTTCTCCTGTATCTCCTAGAAGTCTTACAGGTTTGCATTTTACATTTGTGACTACGATCCATTTTAGAGTTAATTTTAGTGGAAAATATGGGGTATGTGATGTCTTTTTTTTTGTCTTGCAAATCGACGTCCAACTGTCCCATGCACGGCCTTGAACAAACCACATGAGTGTGCATGTGGGGCTGGATGCTCGCCTAGCACCCACAGAATGGACACAGGAATTCGTCTTTGCACCACACCCCTTTCCCACAAGGGGAGACAGTGGTGGGCGAGAAGTGCCCAGGCTTGGGGTCAGATCTCTGCTGCCTTTCCAGCCTGCCCCTGACTGTCTGGCCCAAGCCACACCATCTCCCTGGGCCTCAGTTCCATTAGCTGAAAAAGAGCAATAATGATGCGGACCTCATTGGGCTGTGAGGGAAATGAAGATAATCTATCACGAGGCAGCGGGATTCTAAACATCCGCTTACAGACTGGGGAGGGGATGCGTCTGAGCAGGAGTTGGGCTGGAGGGTCGGCGCTGGCTTTAATGGGACAAGAACTCCGGATGCTTTTACCAGGGGCTGCGTCTCTGGACACCCCCGGAAGCAGCTCCGAGGCCTGCGCGGGGGTGCCTTGGTCTCTGTCTCTGCCGTGCCGAGGGCTTCCGCAGCGGTCTGCGGGATTGAGGTTAGACACTGGGAAGAACTTTCCCTGGCCAGAGAGGAGAAAAGGAAGCACTGCGTTCGTGGTGGGGAGAGCAGCGAGCAGCGTGGGTCTGTCTTTCCTGGCGCACTTGCCCAGCCTTCGCTCTCTCCTGGTGGAATCGCCGTGGGTCTGTCTGACCAGGCGGCCTCGGCAGCTCAGGTTCGGGCCTCCTCCTCCTCCCCCTCCGAGCGGCGGCTCGCGCGGAAGGGCCCCCGCTGCCCTGCAGGTGGCGCCCGCGGGCCGGCGCGGGAGGAGGCGCGGACTTGGTCCTGCCCTGCAGCCGTGGTCCCTCCGGCCCCGGGTCTGGTTCCCATTCTGTGCCCCGCAGAGCCTCAGGCGAGGGGCGGCAGGACCCCGGGCCCCAGGCCTGAAGTAGCTGCTGTGAGAATCAGTGCAAAGCCGGGGAAAACCCGGGTTTGGGGGCCACCAGCCTGCCCACGACTGTTCAGGGGCCCAGCCCTGTGGGCCTTTCCTGGGGTGGTACTCAGTGCGTGGGGAGTCGGAAGCCTGGCTCAAGGTCTGGTTCCAGTTTCTCTGTTTTCCCACCTTAACCAGTAAACAGTTCCTCCTACATCCAAGGGTCGTTGGAACTCTGCTGTTATTAAACTTCATAAAGGTTAGCGAGTATTGTTATTCAGCAAACGTGGTGTCAAAGGGTCAGGAAAGGTTCTATTGCCAACTAGATGTATACTGAATGCTAGAGTCACAAGTGGTTTTCCTTTTATAAAGTAATTAAAAAGATTGCATTCGTTTCCAAAAATTAAATTGAGAATTCCAGGTTTAAGTAGTTTTGATTTTAAGTTTTGCTAATCATTACCTATAATTGTATTTGGCCTTTAAATGTTAATAGATGCTTTAAGTATTTTTGAAAAAAATAGTCATTTTTCACATACATTTTCAAAAAAGTTAATTTTTATAATTGATTTCATTTACATGTCTACGATGAAAATATATTCAAATTGTATGCTCTAGATGTAATTCATTTTATTTATAATCCCTTGGGTCACTGAGAATGAGTGCAAATAGAGACGATGAAAGTGGAGCTCAAACAAAAAAGGTAAAAAGGAAAAGAAATAGAAAATCTTAAAAGAGACAACCTGCTTAAAATTTTTACAACTACGAACACCTTACATGAGATTTCAACTTATACATTCATATACAAAGGAGCTTAATAAGCGGTCAACCATGGACAATCTTCAATAAAGTTAAGTGAATCCAACAGGAAACATTAGTGGAATGTGCTTAAAATAATAAAATGATATGCCCAATATTCAGTCAAACATAATGCTTTAATCTGGGGGCAAGGAGAGGCACTAATGGCCCAGTATATACAGAAACTAAATAAAGCCTAGGTTTAGTAAAAATGACTTCAAATTTTGATGTTAAAATAGCCAAACAGGTAGGATGAGTTTTTTTTTTTTTTAATGTAACAAATAATTATCTGGGATGTAAACTTCAAAATGAGATTATTAAGTTAGAGGGTAAGAAGTGACAGAAGAAATTAAAACGTCTTTAAAGCAAATATTACTCAGATCAATTAAGATTGTACCAAAGACAAAAACCACATCAAATGACTAACATTTATTGTATGAGTTTTGAACTACAAAAAAAGAAAAAGTCAAAATTAAGAAGTATTGTACTGGTTTCATGCTTTTTACAGAAAGTAAACATTTTGGTTAATGCAATGAACTGAATAAGAATGAAAGTGGAGCTCAAACAAAAAAGGTAAAAAGGAAAAGAAATAGAAAATCTTAAAAGAGACAACCTGCTTAAAATTTTTACAACTACGAACACCTTACATGAGATTTCAACTTATACATTCATATACAAAGGAGCTTAATAAGCGGTCAACCATGGACAATCTTCAATAAAGTTAAGTGAATCCAACAGGAAACATTAGTGGAATGTGCTTAAAATAATAAAATGATATGCCCAATATTCAGTCAAACATAATGCTTTAATCTGGGGGCAAGGAGAGGCACTAATGGCCCAGTATATACAGAAACTAAATAAAGCCTAGGTTTAGTAAAAATGACTTCACATTTTGATGTTAAAATAGCCAAACAGGTAGGATGAGTTTTTTTTTTTTTTAATGTAAAAAATAATTATCTGGGATGTAAACTTCAAAATGAGATTATTAAGTTAGAGGGTAAGAAGTGACAGAAGAAATTAAAACGTCTTTAAAGCAAATATTACTCAGATCAATTAAGATTGTACCAAAGACAAAAACCACATCAAATGACTAACATTTATTGTATGAGTTTTGAACTACAAAAAAAGAAAAAGTCAAAATTAAGAAGTATTGTACTGGTTTCATGCTTTTTACAGAAAGTAAACATTTTGGTTAATGCAATGAACTGAATAAGTAGATTTCAATTAGAGGCACTGAATTGTCAAGGATAAGCCTATGATGATACCACTAACAAGATCAGAAAGAAAGTATATAGCAGGAATTTTGGCCCAAAATGCAGCAGCTTTCTCTGTAGTGTGCACAGCTCCTGATTTCAGTTCGTACTAGGAGATAGGAGATGGGGCTTCAACTGTGCAGATGCAAGGGCGTCCTTCGGACAACTCAGTGAGTGTATATGGTGTTTTCTGGATCTGCCCAAAGACTGAACATCTTGATGAAACATCAAATTTGACCTTACAGCCTCTCACAGACTTGAAAATGCCAGCAAAGTGCCCTCAGAGGAATCAAGACAAGACACAATTATGACTAGAATTGTTCAGTGAAACAGCAGATCCTCAAACAGAAAGGGAATCATGGTCTTTGGCAGAAAATG